CGCGCTTGACGGTGGCATGCTGTTCGTTGAGCGAGGTGAGCTGCTCCTGTAGCTCCTGAGAGTTTTGGATGAGGAAGAGGTTGGACTCTTCGAGGTTGCGGAAAATGTCGAGGAGCGCTTCTGACGAGCCGAGCATGCGGGCCTTGTCGGCGGTGGGCGCCGCGTCGTCGCCGTCAGCGGCGCGGTCGGCGTCGACGTCGTGGCCGAGGACGCGGGCCTGGGCGGCGGCCTTTTCGGCGGCTGACCGGTCGAGCTCGTCGAGGAAGGACTTGTACTTTTCGTACGTGTGCAGCAGGCGGTCGCGTTCATCGATCTTGCGCGAGAGCCGAGTGATTTCTTCCGTCAGACCGTCTTTGATGGCCTTTTGCTGCTTCTTGAGCTCCTCCTCGTGCTCGGCCCGCTGTGCCGCCTCCTGCAGCTTCTCGTTGATCTCGTCCTTGTACTCTTGGAACTTGTCCTCTTCCGCGCCAAGCAAGTCCTTCTGCTTGTTCACTGCCGCCATTCGCCGATGCTCCTCGTCCATGAGCTTCTGCACGGCGTCGAGCTTGACACCGATCTTGTACTTGATCTCGAACATCTTGCGCTTGTTGCGGATAAAGGCCTGCAAGTTCTGCTTCTCGCCGGCATGATGCCTCCGAATGGCAGCGCCAGCCTTTGCTAGCAACTCGTCCTTGGCCTTTTGCCTCTCCTTAGCAGCACGCATCTCCCGGGCGGTCATCTTGCCCGTCTTTGATCTTCCGCCACGACCCGGACCAGCGCCAGGAGCAGGAGCAGAACCAAGATGACGATAACGATCATCAACATCATTATCAGCAGTAGCAGCAGCAGCATCATCATCATCTGATGAAGAGTCTGAACCACGGACATGAACCAGTGCCTGTGCGCGACGAGAAGAAGCGGTGGACTTTTCATAAATGGAGAGCGTTCTCAGTTGAGCTCTCCGTTCGGCCGCCACTCGCTTCTCCTCGTCACGCATGCGAAAGATGGTCTCGGCGTCGGGAATGCGGAACGGGTTGTCATCCTCGGATAGCTTTGGGAGGGTGTACCCACTACGGGGCATTGTATTGGGTAGGGGGGGGGTGGGGGTGGGTGTGGTGTGTGGTGGTGGTGGTGA